ATTACTAGACTAGGTTTCAGGGACTGGAGACTTAGAAGGCTTACATCAGGAAATCCAGGTCTCCTGGGACTTAATACTAGACATGAGCAGATCTGTTTCAATATTCCAGGTCATGGTTAGTCTGCGTTTGGACATTAGAAGGAGTATCAGTAACATAGAGTATTGGAGACAGGCAAATCCGGGGAATTCTCTGGGGCACCAGACAAAAATGTATTGGTAACAGTTCATGTGCACTACTTACGTCCCGAACGTTGGACCATTGTGGAGGGGTATCAATAACGCTGCTCTTCATAAACACACAGGCAAAAATAGACCTCGGGGATTTTGCGTAGACAAAATAAATGCATTTGATATTGTATACTAGGTCATGAATGTGAGCTGCATTTCATTAAATTAGACCTGCATTTTTAATGTCGTTATTCGATCAAACTTTGTAAAATGATACTTAGATATTTAAGTAATCAGTGGGTAATGTGTAATTTCCTATATGATCTGCAATGGTTTTAGTGATTTGCATCATTTACAGATGTGCCCCCTGGGTTTATCCCGTTTGTCCGGTGCATTGGTACATCCCTGTCAGCCGTAGTGTCAGTAGATCTGTGAATGGAGTTATTGACCTCGCTCACCTGATTTATGGCCAATATGTTAATCACTCCATTCCGCATATGCCTTACACACAGATATAGGTCACACTCGCACACTCATCACCGATTCTCAAAATACTTAAATTGTCTTTAGGATGACTTTTATTAGGTCCAGCGAAAGATTTAGAATATAAAATGTATGTAGATATGTAGTTTTTGACTTTCTACCATTACTTGTGTTAGTTTTAATTGTCTGTCTATGTAATCACTTGTTATTGAAATGTGGACATTTGGACAATTTGATATGTTTAAGGTCAAAGTTTAGATAATTCCTATTGTTTTGTGGTAGGGTTTGGATTTATTTTGATTTAGATTATATGACATATGTACCTGACAATTACTGAAGTCGCTGCACCTGTAAGATCTAGATACAAAGATACTAAATGGTTTTAACAGTGAATTTTTAAAAATCAGTTAATTGGCTTCATGTTGCTCAACCCTTATATTAATTCATTCTTCAGAGTTTTTGAAGTTACAACAAATATTAATTCAATTAATTTAGAAATCATTTACATCTTTGGGATGAATAAATTAACAGCCCAGTGATTGCATGTACTTTATATAGTAGCTAATATTTATTAAAGCCTAATAAATTGTGCGTTTTTGGTATCCCCACTGACCCTATACTTGTATCAGTCTCAACCAAACTTTCGCTGCCAATTTAGGCAAGCTGCTAAAATCAAGGTTGTAGCATTCTATAGTATAACCTATGTAAAAAAACAACAACAAACAAACAAACAAAAATCCTTACCTCTTAACGATATGAAACTGAAAAACCAGGAAAATTGTTAAGGCCTTGCTCAAAATCACACGTAATTTTCTCAAATGTAAACATGTATTGTTTGTAATAAAAACAAAACAAACATGTTAAGTACTAATATAAGAACAAGTTTGTACATTGAGCCTGTGCTTTCTGTTCTCATGTTTCTATTCTGTTGGTTCTTTATGTCTATCTATCTATCTTTGATTCAGTTTCCTTTTAACCCTTTCACCACTGTAGACCATCATGGACCTATCCAGATCAATCGTGGTAGAGTGTACTAAAGATGTATAGGGGTGAAAGGATTAATGTTTGATAACTTGTCCTCTTTGTATAATAGCCCATATATAGTAGCCTAGAACCAGATTCCTTATGAAACAGTTTACCACGGTACTCGGTTCATACCAGTGTTTCCTTTGGTTTGGTTCACAGTTAGAAAGTCATTGAAGTTTCCTGAGAAAGTCATTGAAGTTTCCTGTGACCTGTTGCCATCCATCTTCCCCAATCATCTTGTTTCACATTTTGATATTTTCCACTCTAGTGCAGTCTGGTGCACATGTACGCTAATCTTGTCGGGTGCACTGGTGAGCTGTTCCCTAAAATCTCCACATGTCTGGTATATTGGTAAACTCTCCTGCCTTGTATGCTCTAACTTTAAACATGTCTGGTGAACTGTACTGTCTTCTAAATCTCAATATGTCTGGTGAACTGACCTGTCCTCTAAATCTCAATATGTCTGGTGAACTGAACTGTCCTCAAAATTTCAATATGTCTGGTGCATTGATAAGCTCTCCAGACTGGTGATCTCTCCTTTAAATCACTTTATGTCTGGTGCACTGGTGAACTGTTCTCCAAATCTCTATATGTTTAGTTCACTGATGAGCACTCTTGTCTGGTAAACCAGGATGCCCTCCTGACCAGTTCACTGATGAACTTTCTTGTCTGGTAAAGTGGGAAGCCCCCCCCTCCCCCCCTTTTACAAATTCACTGATGAGCTTTTCTGTCTGGTAAAGTGGGAAGCCCCCCTTGCCAGTTCACTGATGATCTCTCCATTCTGGTAAATCGAGGAGCCCAGCTGATGTGCAGTTCACTGATGAGCTTTTCTGTCTGGTAAAGTAAGAAGCCCCCCTTGCCAGTTCACTGATGAGCTGTACTGTCTTTCCTAGTCCATGTCTTTCCTGCATGTAAGGTTTAGGGTCTCTACTCAAGTGACCTACAGTACTTTCTTCACTTACTGTAGATAAAAGGATCACAATCCCAGTGATAGTGTTACAAATTCATTTATAGATGGTTGTGCTAATTGGTATTTGTACTCTGCCTTTCAAGTAGTATCCAGTCAAAGTCTCAGTTTGGGAATGACAGACATAACCAAGCTCACAGTCTATCCACGCCAGCCTCACAAAACCCATCATAACTTTTACCTCAGAGGGTAACTTCAACAAAGTCTTAGGAAACCTGGACGTCATTACACACGGCCAATCATTGGAGATGATCAGAGTTCAGTAGAGCTCTGCGGATGTGATGTGAGTTTGATGCAATATGCAGACATGAGTTTGATATGGTTTTGGGATATAACCCAAACATGAGTTTGATATGGTTTTGGGATATAACCCAAACATGAGTTTGATATGGTACCCGGATATAACCCAAACATGAATTTGATATGGTACCTAGATATAACCCAAACATGAGTTTGATATGGTACCCAGATATAACCCAGATATGAGTTTGATATGGTACCCAGATATAACCCAAACATGAGTTTGATATGGTACCCAGATATAACCCAAACATGAGTTTGATACAGTACCCAGATATGACCCACATATGAGTATAATATGGTTACCCAGATATAACCCAAACATGAGTTTGATATGGTACCCAGATATGACCCAGATATGAGTATAATATGGTACCCATGGCCAGATAAGACCCAATAGAAAAGTAGACTTGTGTTGTAGGTTTTAACCTATTCTGACCTCAACCAGTTTGTGATGAAAAATAGCCCTTTGTTTTCTGATTTTCTAAAACAAATTCAACCTCCTCTAACTTTCAACATGACAATGGCAACACAACGTGATAACTTTCAACATGACAATGGTGACACAACTTGATACAAATATGGTTCTCATGGGCATAAACAGATGCTGTTATATTTTGAGTTTGACTTAAAATCCAAAATGACCACAATTTCCTCAGATTATCAGACATTTTTGACTATTTCCCAAATCCACTGGATCAATTTCAACCAGACGTTGTAGAAATGTTCCTTAAACAGTGCCCTTGTTAGCCAGTGCCCTTGTTAATCAGTGCCCTTGTTAGCCAGTGCCCTTGTTAACCAGTGCCCTGTTAGCCAGTGCCCTTGTTAACCAGTGCCCCGTTAGCCAGTGCCCTTGTTAATCAGTGCCCTGTTAGCCAGTGCCCTTGTTAGCCAGTGTCCTTGTTAATCAGTGCCCTTGTTAGCCAGTGCCCTTGTAGCCAGTGCCCTTGTTAGCCAGTGCCCTTGTTAACCAGTGCCCTTGACAAGTGTTTTTATCTCAATTTTGTGGGTCATTAAGATTCCGAGATGGTCACTTTGATAACAAGTGACAGGGGTGACAATTCAAGTTCTTGTTTAGTTAAGATAATAGAAGAAACAGGTGAGCAATACAGGCCCATTGGGTCCCGTGTTTATCAACACTGATGTTACACCTGCAATGATTGTTACCATTTTGTCAGTGTGCTTGGTCTATTTGCATGAAAAATGACACTTTTTAACAAAAATTGAAAGAAAAACAAATCTGTTTATTTCATGACTGTAGATGTTGAGAAAAAAATGAAGTAATTTCCATACAGCATTAATGAAAAATGTTTCTTTTTGTGTTCGTGTGATACATTTAAAGTGTAAGTAATGATATGAATACTAATACACATTTCTCTTTCAAGTTTCTTCCACATGAGTAGCTATGAGTACATCAGTGCTTGTACTATACAGAACTCTAAGTGTCCTATATACACACCACGTATTAGGCCTCTGCCCCATCTACTTTCAGTAGCTTTTCAAAAGGCGTCAGTAATGTTGGATGACATTTATTTGGTGTTATATGAGAATTGTCATGCGCTAAGTGTGGATTACAACATGTTTTGGACAGGAGCAACTTGGGACATGTCTAACACCTTCCGAGTATCAACTTTGAGTATTATATCAAATTAGAATGTGAAACCAGTCACACTTATATAACTGCTGTTACTAAGTGTTTTGTTTTGTTTTTACTGAAAAAAATACATTTATAACTAACTAGTTTTAAAATGTACATAAAAAACTTCGTTTCTGTGAGAACAGTAAATGGCTAAGATCACTTGGGCTGATAACTCCCGCAGGTTTCTCAAAACTTGTCTGGTGTTATTGACATTTTTATTCGCCTCTTAAATGCCATCTTTGTCGCCTAGGTCTTCATGCTTCTGCTACTGGAGTAAAAGATGATGAAGGGATGCTGATTGAAGTGGTTTCTAAATAGAATGGGAGTTTTGTTTTGACTTTTGCTTGTGAAGGTTGGTGAGAGCTAGATGATGGAGTAGGGAGATATCAGTATAGTATAATGATATATATACAATGACCAAGCTTGTGGTTGTCTGAGCAGACGGCTCGCACAGCTCGTACAGATCCCGTGTTCTGTTTACAAGCCAAATGGATCGAGTTGTATAATATGTTGTTTAAAACGGAGAGAACAGTTTGGATAACAAGTAGCATGTTTGTGTGTGTGTCTGCCTGGAGGGAGCTAACTGACCCAGGGTCAACACTGAGATCTACAGACTGCATAGTCCTACTGTGCGCATGTCCTACAGGAATTGCATCACTGAGCTTTAAAAAACATCAAGATAGCTGTTGGATGCTTGCAAGCTGTCCTGACACCAAATTATGCAGTAAGGTTTGGTAATTTATTCATAGATACAGTTTACACAGGTGGTCAGTCTGATTCATCTGCTGGTGCACTTCTATTACATAACAGGAGGTTGCGAGGGCATGTCTGAGATACACAATTTGTAGTTTTGTAATTGCACAACACGTCCTACTTATAATATTTGAAGCTGCACTTCATGTCACTGCTTGCTTGTTTAAAAAATTAAAACAAAATATTTAACTTTTAAATGAGAGCCTGCATTGCGCTACGTTTTAATTCTTGGTGAATATATTCTAAAATGATGAATAAAAACATAGAAAATGCAAAGCACAAAATGTGTTCTGTTGAGGTGGTCAGACAAACAGGCATACATTGCAACTGCGCAGTATATTCGCAGGTTGTTGCAGTAAAGTACAGCAACGAAAATTATGTTGGCCATCTGAATTTGCCTCATACAACAGTCTGTCTGATTTTTTTTCTTTTCTTCTTCGTCCCATGTTTTAAGTGGAATGATATAAAACAAAACTAGTAGACATTTCTGCTATATATTTTTATTATATTCATCAGCAAATTCATAACATTGGCCATCAAAATGCTGATTCAGTAACTTTTTTACCTTTATTTACTGTGTAAACCACGCAGCCACTTCCAAACTTGATAATGGAAAGGTTCCTGACCAACATCTTTGAATCTTGATAATGGAAAGGTTCATGACCAACCATTGACCATTGGGCCTTGTATGTTAAATAAGGCTTCTCCAGATACCTTTGATCCTTGTAAAAAAAAAAAATCTCCACCAGTGACCTTTGAACTTTTAATGTAAAAAGGGCTCCACCAGTGACCTTTGAGATTTTGATGAGAAAAAAAGCTCCACCAGTGACGTTTGGAACATATCAGAAAGGACCTCTCCACTGAAGACCTTTTCGGGGACTTATTGGCAGTGTTGGTCTCACACAGGGCCATGTGACAGCCCTTTAATCAGGGCCAGCAACAGTCCGGGCCAGCAGGGAGGGTTTGATGGATGGCTGGTGTGATACTGCTGCATGTGTTCTTAAAATTGATGTATATGGGATGTGTTTTACTTTCTAAATGAGGCAGTGAAATTACCACCTTGATTTAAACTCCAACATAATCCCGGTGTATAGGCCTGTCAAAATTTGGCAGTGTGGGCTGCATTTCTCTCCATTTTGGCAGTACTACACAGAATGAGGAAAGAAATTGTTGAATTCTGTGTGATTAAAAATGCTACACTTTATTTAATTAGAAAGTTTGAAATGAAACACAGACTAGAAACACCAAGATAAGGTTATCATATTGCAACCTTTCCTCCAAAAGTACACACAAAAAAGTAGTTTTGTACTGGTGAACACTGGGCCTAATTTAGTTGATGCAATCTGTCCAGTTGGTAATTTGAAAGAATGTGTATGAAAGTGAAAATATACAATTACAACACCGAAATAACTTGAATTGGGCTCTGTCTATTTTGCCTTTGGAATGAAACGTTTTTGAAAGCTCGTGTTGTATGAGTGTTTGCGGCATGACTAACACTGTTATGTTGTTGATCAAGTATATTCATGAGGGGGAGTTCAAACTCTATCCGTACTGCTTTGTGTGTGATATTATGATAACCTTGGGTCTCCGGGTGCAGTAACGATTGGCTACACGCGCCATAAATACATCTCGATAATTAAATCTCCTGCTTGTCACCTGTTCGTCCTCATGCAAACACCTCGAGTTTCGACACTGTGTAATTAATCTCTTATTTGTTTATACTGACATTTTGTGATTTTGACAAATATGACATTGTGAATTTTCATCGATAATTGATTTTCTTCTTTTGATATGGTAAATTTAACAGAAGTCCATTGGAATGAATTGTAACATTACCAATACTGTTTGAGGTCAGGTATATTGTTTTAATCAGTTATTTGTTATTGATGAGATATGATAATAAAAATATTGTCTGGTGATGTTGTAAAAAGGGTCGGATTTCTACAGGAGAGACAGTAAACAGGACGTATATGATAGTTGGCTGTAATTCATTTTTCTGCGAATATCGCTCAAGAAAAATTTAAAGACAGGTGCAAACACTTTTAACGCAGGGTGTTCTATAGGGACGTTACCTCACCAGACAGTACAGGGTGCGTTTTATAGAGACATTACCTCACCAGACAGTACAGGGTGCGTTCTATAGAGACATTACCTCGCCAGACAGTACAGGGTGTGTTCTATAGAGACATTACCTCACCAGACAGTACAGGGGGTATTCTATAGAGACATTACCTCACCAGACAGTACAGGGTGCGTTCTATAGAGACATTACCTCACCAGACAGTACAGGGTGTGTTCTATTGGGACATTACCTCACCAGACAGTATAGAGGGTGTTCTATAAAGACATTATCTCACCAGACAGTACAGGGGGTGTTCTATTGGGACGTTACCTCACCAGACAGTACAGGGTGTGTTCTAAGAGACATTACCTCACCAGACAGTACAGGGTGTTTTCTATAGAGACATTACCTCACCAGACAGTATAGGGGGTGTTCTATAGAGACATTACCTCACCCGACAGTACAGGGGGTGTTCTATAGAGACATTACTTCCCCAGACAGTACAGGGGGTGTTCTATAGAGACATTACCTCCCCAGACAGTACATGGGCTGTTCTATAGGGACGTTACCTCACCAGACAGTACAGGGTGTGTTCTATAAAGACATTACCTCACCAAACAGTACAGGGGGTGTTCTATAGAGACATTACTTAACCAGACAGTACAGGGTGTGTTCTATAGAGACCTTACCTCACCAGACAGTACAGGGTGTGTTCTGTTGGGACATTACCTCACCAGACAGTATAGAGCGTGTTCTATAAAGACATTATCTCACCAGACAGTGCAGGGGGTGTTCTATTGGGACGTTACCTCACCAGACAGTACAGGGTGTGTTCTATAGAGCCATTACCTCACCAGACAGTACAGGGGGTGTTCTATAGAGACATTACCTCACCAGACAGTATAAAGCAGTTTGACAGTTGCGGTATTTTGTATTGTCTAAGAGAAGGAGTGTGGAGATAATTCATGGATTTTCCTGTTTGTCTTGGGCTGTCTGCATTTTACAAATAAATGGAGACCCGACAAATCTATGGATGTAGCCAGTAAATTATGTTGTCTGATAGGATCTCAAATGCAGGTAATACTCTCTGCTGAGACATCAGAAATATTGGTTTAAACATTGTTTTATTCTGACTTTTTATACACTCTACAGCAAATATACAAAGATTGATGGGAATGAGCAAACAAGCTGGGAGCTTACAGTAATTCCTATCCTTGGTGATAATGGACCACATTCTTGATTTTAACGTTGCTATACTGCATATGATAAACAGTGTCTGTAGAAATTATAAGAACATTTGTCATCAGGCAGGCTACATTCTGTTTCTGAGTTCCAAGACTGCATGGACTTTGGGTGTTTCCCTAATATTTTTATATATAATACAAATGAAAGTTCTTCACATGATTTTAACATTACTTGGGTTGTAGAAGTGATGGTAAGGATTGTTTTGGTGGAACCTGTGTTAGTCAAACTCTCCATATTCCAGAAACCTGTATAAACCAGACCTATAACCACAATATCTGTTGTATATGTTTTCATGTAAATTAAACCTGTGCATTTGGCCTACAATGGCTCCAGTTTCATGAGTGTTCCTTGACTGGAATTTTTCTTTCGAAAATCATTAATTCTGTGTATTTCTTTTAGCTCAGTTTGACAGCAAAAATACAAGCTGTTTCCCTAGCTAAACAGTGCCTTTTTTCCCCAAAATGATAACAAACTGAGGAATATATTCCCAATCTCAATACAAATAATGCTATATTTTCCCAATTCATAAAGGAACAGGCTGTTACAAAATTTAGATAGCAAAAAAACTGATTAATGGAGTTGGGGAAATCTTCAAGTTTTCCTTTAATTCAGCATTGCTTTTTAAGTTAAGAAAGATTTGTAAAAGTGCTGAGCCAATATATATATTTGATTAACACATATAAAAATATGTTTTGCCTACAGTATATTTCCTTCCTTCCAAGATTAGCTTTTTGAACGTAAAAAGGGTACAAGATAAGGCAATTGCTGTGTTCTGATATTTGTAACTATAATATTAAATAATTGAACCTTATGAACTTTTGTTGAGGTTAATACACGGTTAGATGAACCCGGGAAAGATGTACATTAACCGAGACGATGTAATCATGGAAGTACTCATATCCACGAAACAACACAGTTTATACAGCTACTTTCATTAGAGTCACAACTAGCAACATGTGTAATTAACAAATTTAAATAACACAGCAGTAAAAATTAACCTGTTTTGTTCAAATTTATAATTGCCTAAATAGTTCAAATAGTAAAAAAAAACACTAAAATGTAAGATAGTTTTGTTAGAGAAAAAGTCATTACTGGATGATGTGAATAACACCCACAAAGAAGGCGTAGAGCAGGGTTGACCTTACACCATTCTGGGTAGCACAACAGTAGCACAGGATTTCACAACCGGTACAGGGGTATAGCAAAATAATACCCTACAATCTTAAGCGACTATTTGCTATAAGTTACTTGTCATTGTTTGAACATTGATAATGTCACTGTCAATGAGTGTCATTTTGACCAATCGTTAGTCATTTACTTTTGAAGAGAATGATTTGTGCTAGTCTAGTATGTCTTGACGTATGAGTAAAGAGACATGTTTAGGCAGTCAAAACAGCTAACTGTTGCTCTATGAAACCAAGTGATTTTTTTCTGGGTATAAATTTTCCATAGAGACTCAGACATGCCACAATTGAATTTCGTAATTACAGGGTTATAGTCACTGGCCCTGCCCATCCACATGTCTGTTGTCGCAACGGTGACAAGTTGGATGTGGAGGATAGTGATATGCACAAGCATGCAGTACTGTGCGGGCGAGAGCGTTGGACAGCTTGTCACGTGTGCTAGTGATTACAAGTGTCAACCACTGTTCACACCCTGGAAAC